TTATAAATACTTATTAAACAAATTTTAACATACCTTATATCTAGTGAGTACTTGAAACAAGTACTTAGCAAGTACTTACCAAGTACTTGCCAAGTGCTTGGTTATACTTCGTGATGACTTTGTATTTAATGTTTGTAACCTTAGCATGTTTTAGTTCTTTAACACTTGAGCCCAGATCCAACGCCCTAGTTGCATATTCTTTAATTGCATTTGTGATAGCAGTGGGTGGGTAGTCTTTTGCCACTTCTTCCTCAACTAATTTCTGTACTGCTTCTTAGTACTTTAGCCTTTCACTTTCGTCAAGTGTATGTGCATGATCAGGACTTTCATTATATTGTTCTATTTGCACTTTTTGTGCACTAACAAAACGTAACACCCGGATTTTTGCAGAGCAAAGATTGGGTAGTTGGACCTTCATTTTTCAATGCTTTTCAACAGGAATTCCTTCCTTTCGACTACTCGAATAATTATGCTTCATAAATTGTCACGCAAATGCCTTTCAAGAATTACCATTGGCATGGTTTTATAACTGAATCTTGTCCACATATTCGTAACAAGTGGCCACCATTCTTGATCAAATTCATTCATAGATACTTCAAATGGTTCACCGACATTGAAGAGAAGTGATCGCCTTTGATCAGGGGTTATAGATTGTGATGTATAAATTTTGACCCCTTCATATGCTGTGGGTACTTCATCAGCCGCGGATATTAATGTTTCCTCATTTTCCTCTTCACTATCCTCCAACACAATCACTTCATTTTTCTCTAACACATTTCTTTCATTTCCCTCCAAAACACCAACACTTTCATCAACTCCAATTTCTTCAAACACATTCCCTTCTCTTACAACAAAGTTACCTGCCATACAAAAAAAAAAAAAAAATATATATATATATATATAATTATGCTTATATTGTAATAAAACAAAACGTTATATGAAGAATCATTAAAACTTTAATATGCTGCTGACTTTTTAGTTCCTATTGATCTCTTATTAAAGCTTTAGTAGCGAAGGAAAAAAAATTATAAAAAAAAAAAAAATGTTACAATATTGTAACGCTTAATACGTACTGTAATAAAACACTGTTAAAACCTTAATATACTGACTTCTTACTTCCTATTGATCTCTTATTGAAACTTTAATAGCGAAGAAGAAAAAAAATCATAATGCAAAAAAAATCATAATGCAAAAAAATTCGTAATGTAAAAAAAAATCGTAATGTAAAAAAAAATGTAGATTTAGATTTTACTTAAACCCGAAAAAATTGGGATCACTGCTTATCCCGTAATTTCCCGTACGTCAGGTAATTTCGTGAAGTGCCAGGCTTTAAATGACCCTAAATTAGTAATTTAAATATAAATTCAAATGCGTAATAAAAAATGTATGTACTTCTTCTAATCCATTCAATTCACTAAATATATTTTTTTAAAAAATCTGCTTAGAACAATTACTATGTTGGATACATTACAAATCGGCAATACTTTTGCTAATATGAAAAACGTTTACTCAGCCTTGAACAGTTACTCTGTTAAATCCTCTTTACCTTATAAATCTAGAAATAACAAACCAAACAAACTACTTGCTGTTTGTCCTACGAATAGTTCATGCCCTTTTACTGTTTCAGTTAACAAGCGGTTTTATTATATAATAAAGTTGATTTTTTATGATCCAACTTGTCAAACTTTTATGGAATCATTAACCAATTGATGCAGAATCATGTGTTCTTGATAATGAAACTTTGCTGCCATCTACAATTAAACAAGCTGAATAGCCATGAAAAACTCAGTTGTGTAGTTGTGGAGAAACGGCATCAGAAAATCAGATTACTGTAATAAAAAGGGCATAATTCGCATATATGCAGTCGAAGACTTAGAAATTGAAAATAGCATGTGTATTTTATTTAATATTAAATAGTTTCTATAACATGTAATTATGCTTGTGTAGTGAATTCGATATAACGAAATTCTAAAACGTCTAATTAACCATGATACTATTATGTTTAAACCGACTTTTTTAGCTAATAATATATTTGGGCCCTTATTTGTAATAATTTTCAAAAACCAGGCCTCTATTTGTTATTATTTTCATTTTAGGCCCTTATTTATAATTGTTTTCATTTTGGGCCCTTATTTGTAATTTCCCCTAAATATAAATATAGAGAATTAAATTATATAAATATTCTGGTATTTTTCTTTTTTTTTAATTTATAAATTTTTTTTTTTTATTCAATATTAAAATATTTTAAATTTTTAATTTATGTATAATCTAAAATATAAAGCAGTAAGAATAGTTTTGCTGTTATGTAATTTTTAGAAATTTGATGGCCAATAACATATTGTTATTCATGTTTCTTGTTAACTTTCCGATAGGCCACTTTTTATTAAAATCTGATTAATTCACTGAAAATCACCTCATAGATACCACATTTTACTGCTAACAAGCTCATTTTACTGACAGTATTAGGGCTATTACCCGGGTTGAAAAATAGCGACCTGGGTCAAACCCAGGTAATGAAATATTGACCTGGATTATGACCCGAGTCAGCAGATTAGGTGAATAAATTTAAAGTTTATTACCGTGTAATGAACCTAGAGATGGGTTTCATGCGTGCCCATGATTCCTCATAATTCGAAATCATGTGCATTTTATCTCATCTAAATTTTATTTAGGAAAATTAAAGTATATTTAATTTAGGCCAAGATGTATAATGCTAGGCAAAATTAAGAAATAGGAATACAGAAATTTTGAAAAATTCTGAAAAGAAATAAATGAACATAAAGATGAGAAGGGCTGGGGAAAAATTTTTGGTATTTCTCAGAGGGAAAAATATAAAATCAAAAAAATTCTATCATGCCATATCATGCACATGTTATTATAAAATGCACATTTTTCCCATCTCTAAACGAACCCTTACACAAAATTGATGTAACAGCTAAATAAAGCTCGAATTCGTAATGGCCCTTACATAAAATGCCCTTAAATAAAGAAAGAATTAGTAACGACAATCATTATAAAGTGAATTGCCAAGACTTGAACGTATAGTTGTTAGATGAAACCTTGAGGTTTCGCGTGAAACCTAGTTTCGTCAACTAAAATCTCAAATGACAAAATGACGAAAGGTGCAAAAGGTGACGAAACTAACGAAAGGTGATGAAACTGAAGGGTACGAAACTAATAAAAGATGAGAAACTGAAGCAAGTGTAAGTAATGGTGCCACTGACTTCTATATTTATGTTTATATAATACTAAAATTTAAAACATATAATTATATTAGTAACTTAAGAAATAATTTATCAATTTGGGCTCTGACCCATTAGACCCGGGTTAGATCAAAATTTGACCTGTGACTTGCCGAGTCAGATGACCTATATGGGTCATCCGACCCAGATAAGAGCTCTAGACAGCATATTTTACTGAATCTTATTTCAAAAAGTCTGTCCTGTTAGTGAAAGAGCTTTAGTAAAATAGATTGTTGGTAAATAAACTTGTCAATGAATAACTGTCATAAATGTGGTGTCTATGAAGTGATTGTCGGTGAAATAATACGGATCTCTTTTTATTAAGTTTTTTATTTAGATTAATTTAACTGACAAGTATAACAATAGTTATAATAAACAATGTACACACCTTTTATTAATTTATTATCTACACTTTTATTCAAGTCAATTTAGCCAATAGTTAATCAAACCACTGAAATATGTAAAATAATCTGTTTATTATTAATTTCTTATTTGTGCTAATTTACTTAATTGATAAATCCTTTTTTATTAAGTTGCTTATTAAGCTTTTACTAAAACTAATCTAAGTATAAATTATATAGCCCTTTATATAGTTGTTAAATGAAACTTCGAAATACGAAATGCGAAATCTAGTTTCGTCTTTTGCCAATTAAAATCTTAAATGACGAAACTGACGAAAGGTGATAAAACTGTAAAGGGTGACAAAGACGAATATACAAATAAATGTTGCTGAAAATCATTGAATATGTGTATAAAAAATAAACTAATAAAAAATTACAAAAAATTTTATTGTATAATAGGCATTTGAATTGTTTAAAGGGATTAGAAATGAGTATTCTATAATGTATTATACTAGTACACTACATATCAGTTCTAGTAAGAAATTGCTTAGTGCTTACTTTGTGATTTTACAAATTTATTTTGTGCCAGTATGTTTTTAATTCGTTATTTGTATTATTCTATAAATAAGGTTATTTCAACCAGTCTATAACCGCTTCAGCTCTCTTCACCGACGCTCCTTTTGTAGACACACCACTTCACTGAAATCGTCTCACTGAAATGTTTAATTCATAGACATTTAATTCACCGACAATCAAATCCCCGACATGCTCATTTTACCGACATGTTTGTTTTGT